TTTTATTTGTTGATAATTTGGGTCCAACCTCGTCTCATTTTTTGATGCTGTGTGCTTCTGAGGAAGTTAGGTATATCAGATTCTTCTCTTTCCAGTGAACTTCTGGTCTGCTTGTTTATTTCCCAGTAAGTTAATGCAGGAGGTGCCTTGAAGACTGGAAGCTGAAGAGAATAATGCATTCCTTTTTATTTGTTGACAGTCTCACATCTTTAGATACAAACCTGCTACCATTTGAATGCACAGTACCTCCTGTGTTGTACAGACACAGCTATAAAGAATAACTTTGGGACTTGGTTTAAAAAAAAAAAAAAAAGAAGAAGAAAAAAAAGATACACTTGAAGCCCAATATGACCCTTACTGGAAATGTAAACTACCTGGAGTAGGTATCCTTGACAGTAGATAAACAGTTCCACTAACAACGTGTTAAAAATGACAGTGACTGGTAGAGATCACAGTTCCTTTTGTGCTGGATACAGCAGGCTGTTCATGTCATGAAGCTTTCTCAGAAGGCCAGCATTTCCAGCTTTCTGTCCTTAGCTATAAATGCCAGGTTGCTTTACTGGTAGCCAGACAATGTCTTATTGAATAGAGTGAAGTACAAGATGAAGATTAACTTCAGTGTTAAATCTGAGCCTAGTATGCTTTGTAAAAAGCTGTGTAGACCCCTGTCATAGCTCTTACAGTTCTGTAAGCTCTTGTGCCATGGAGGTCACTTACCCTACTAAGTACATCCCTGTAAAATTCTCTATGAACTACTGTGTATAAGCAGTACTTGTAATCAATGCAAGTAGCACAGGCTTAGGAGGCTGCAATTGCAGTTTTTTTACTATCTTCTTTAATTTGAAGTAAATTATTTCTCTGAATTTATACGATAATTACCAGGACTTCTGTTCAGTGGCATAATCCAGTATCTTTCACTAGCCTGTTTTTTAATGTACACATGAACATGTATATAGGCCCCTATGTGTAGATATTGGAAACTAAATTCTAAGCTTATAGAGATGACATAGGTGGTTTGGTAAGTAAAACTTGTGTGTTCAGTCTTGGTAGTATGAATTTCTGCAGTGTTACAGTTTAACTGCTCAGAGGCCTTAGATTCAGGGTGGCATCGGTGGGTGGAAATGCTTTTCCTTAGCATTACTGCAGCCTTAGGAATCCTTTAAGCAGTTTATAGGAAAGAAAAAACCACCAACTAAACCCCAAGTATTCCAGATCTGTTTGCACTTTTGTCCTGCTCTGCCGCAAGTCATCTTCAAACAGATTGGAATGGGGACACCTTCAGTGTGTGCCTGTTATGTAGCCAGTCAGATAATGTTCCTGTTTATTTCCTAGGTCTGTAAAACCAGCATGTTTGTCTCTGGTTTGAGGTCTTACTCGTGATCAAGTGATGACAACTAGTGTGCTTTCAAGAGCAGATAAACCTTGTGTCAGAAGCTCTTTGGCTGTTCTCCTGAGATGACATCTCTGAGCTCTAGACTTTATTCCTATGAGTGTGAATGTGAGCACTTTTTTTTTTTTCCCTTTTGTTTTCTTCCCCCTGGAGAAGAAAACCAAACTCGAATATACACGAGGATTTTTCGTGTGGATTTTTTTTGTTTGGTTGTTTGTTTTCAGGCTGCCTTTTCTGACTTGAACTGGGGCATAATGTAAATACTGGTATAGTAAATATGATGCTAGAGAGTTACTTTTTTTTTCTGTGATTAGTATAAATTCAAGGCTTATTAAACTGACTATTGATGTGTTGTACTGAGTCTTGGAAGACTTAAAGTAAAATTGCTTGATTTCACTAAGATTAACAAACATCTTTTCTGTTGTTTGAGTTTAATGCTGACATTTTAGTGAGAAATCTTTATCTGGGTTGAAGTTCTGCAACCATGAACAGGGAGCTGTGATTAAAAGTTGGTTTAAAATGTGTTTATATTTAAAATACTGGGAGATTGATTATTAGGGGTGTCATTCAGGTTTTCTCAGAGCTTGGAGCCTTATGTATTGGCATTATAGTTCAAAACAATTTATCCACTTGTCCATGCAAGTGATTGTGTGACCAAAATTGTCCTCATGTCTTAATGGGGCTGGTGAATTGTGGTGTGTGAGGCTAGTTAGCTTTATTAAAATATTTCTATTGCAACTTTAAGACAGTTAATTAAATACGTTTCTGAAACTGAAGAAGTGAATTGAAGGAATAAATCGAGGGAGTGTGAACCAGCATAGGTCTCGCTCTTCATATTTTTGGACAGATGTTTGTCCTGACATCAGTGACCCAGGAACATAGAAAAAGGTGGGATTATAATGTGGATGTGGTTTCTGAACGTGAGTTGGACAGTTACTTAAATTGAGTAGAGACAGTTCCTGCTGATAAGCACACAGGTTTCAGGCCAGACTTCAAAGCTCCCTTTCAGAACAAATGTTCCAGCCTTGCTTGTTCCAGCCCCTTCCGCTGGATTCTGTGGTGAGCAATGTTACGGGTTAAGGGTACAGTAGTGACACCTTGACACTGAAATACGGAGGATGGTGAAGGTGCTGTGTGTTTTCCAAGGTGGATGAGAAATTCAGAACTTCCCTGTGCAACTACTGACAGTGTTTTGTTTTAAAATCAGCTGTTGATATTGTGACACTGTCCGCATTAAAATATGCCTTCGGCCTTGAAAATGACATGCTTATGCAAAACTTCTTTACAGATACAGTGCTACTTTCAGATATACTGTGTGTAAGATACAGGTCACTATATACTTTTCACAGAAGCATATGGTCACTTAAACACAAGCAACTGGTAATTCATTAATGGATATTGACGATACATTCCTAGTATTTTGACTCATGTAGAGTCAGGTGGTCTATACCTTCAAGGTATATACAGCTGATCTTAGTAACATTAACATCTGCCTCACTTGTTATGAGGCAAAAAGCACATAAATGCTTCCATCTTCAACTAGATACCACGCAAGACCAAAAAATAGGTGTAAACTAAGTGTTTTAAATCAGCCATTTCTTGGCTTTATTCTGTGTTGGTAGCACAGTATTGAATGCAGTGGCAGAACTGTAGTATTGTGGGGTTTCTAAGCATAAAGCACACATACATATCACTTTAAGCTAAAAAAATGATAGTATTGGTTACTGTGCAAGTAACAGTTTTTGCATTCATAGGAAGCTTTGTTTACTGTCTGTAATGTGATGTTTATCTTTGGCCCTGTTCCTCCCATACCTTTTACCCTGTTGACTGTTTTAGTGTCAAAGAAATTAAAGGATTTGACAAGTTGTTTTCCTTGTCTGCTTCCAAAGTGCCACCTTGAGTACCCCAGGGGTGCAGCTGCAGACAGGAGCTGGTGCAGCCGTGTGCTTCATGGGCCGACACGTGAGCGGCTGCTGCAGAGTGATGCTTTCTCCAGCACGTCACCAGGAGCGAGGAGTGCGAAGGGGGCTGCAGCCTTCCTCTGTCCCACCAGGTCTCTCCTGCTCGCCCATATGCCTCTGGAGCAGCTGATGCCACTTCAGGTGGTGTGCCCACTGCTTGTACAGACAAGAGGGTGCTTTCCTTAAAGAATTTACCATCTAAAATAGGGAGGAATAAGGTAGAAACAAGAGGGGTTGGCATCTTCATGTGTGTGAGTTTCCTTGAATTTTGTAAGAATGTTCTGGGTTATTTTCTGTTCTCTTTCTTTTCCTCCTCTTCAGGAATGAGACAGACTCAGGTGGTGTATGTTCAGCAGCTGAGCCTTCTGCTTAGTGGACAGGCATCTCCAGTTTTGCAATACCAGATACAGGAAGACAGCTAAATCTTCTTGTTTTACATATACTCTTATTTTTTAAAAAAAACATATATATTTTTTTTTTTAATCTAGGTAAAGTCATTCAAGCAGAGACAGTACACTAAGGCCATGTTGTTAACCTCTTTCGAAAGAAATGTGCTTAGTTTTGTTTAAAAAAGTGTTGATGTGAACTGTGAACCTTTAGATGCTTTAAAGAAATCGGATCCCCCACCCCCTAGTGTCAGTATTTTTGTGGTTATTTTAGTGCTGACTTGAGACAATATCGCAAACACTAACTTCCCTCCCCGACCCCTGTATTTCAGGAGCTGAAATCTTGAGCTCCTGAATATTGAATTTACTGTTGGTAAACTGGCAAGTTATTTCAGTCACATCAAGAGCACATTTGAACTTTACAAAAATGCTCCTTTTGAATTCATCCCATTCGGGGAGAGCGATCTGAGCCAGCAGCCATCACCCAGGTGGTGATGACATAACCTCTGCCACACTCTTCTGCCTTACCTCAGGCAAGCAGTCTCTGACGCGGTCATAAGAAGTTGTGATGCTCCTTTTCTGTTTAACGTGTGGGGAGATCAGCCCGTGGTTTGTCCATCTGCCACGTCCTAGCTGCTGAATTGCGTTACTTCTGATTGGAATTTCAGACTCTCAGGGTTTCCAGGTGATAACTGTGCATGTTCTCAAACTGTAGCTTTTCACTTCCAGCTTCGTTTTGTTGGGATTCTGAAGTCACTCCGGATTTTCTGGTTGTATGTTTCTGTGCAGGCCATTCTGTCTTTGGGTCTTGCTGTCTCAAGAATGCTGGGCAGTTGTGAATAGAACCGTGTCCTCCCAGGCCACAGCCAGAGAGGATCTCCTACAAGCTTCATTTTAACAACGAAAGCCTGGCAATATTGGTCAGGATCTTAGGAAGAAGAATGCATCTGGTGGGGAATTACTAAATGTGACTTCCAGAATCCCTGCTGTTCCAGATAATTGGGAGGGATGGTGGAGGGAAATAACATGGAGCTCACCTGTGCAGACAGCCTGTTTTCTGTTCTTTTTCTAGTTGATCTTTAAAATTCCTTAAAATAATTCTTTAAATTCTTTAAAATACTAAAAATGTATATAGAATCCTTAAATTCATGAATTTCAGGGGCTGACAAAACTCTTTCTAAATCTGGCCTTAATTCTTAAAGACTTCTGACATCTTGGCTTGCTTTCCTTTGTCATGTTTTCAGGTCATTCACTATCTTATTCAGTGCCATTGGCGTTAAGAACAGATACTCTTCTTGATGTAGACAAAAGGTGAAATAACAGAACAAGAAGAATCTACATAGATCTGATGTATGATCTGTAGGAATAGGTACCAGCAGGAAAATTAAACGGGGAGGTTTTTTCAAATGATTCACAACTGAAGCACCTCAAACTCTTCTTTCAAAGAGAAAAAAGAAACATTGCCGTTAGTACATGAAAGTTAACTATATGTTCTCCAAATATGCCAGTAATTCACTAGCACTGAGAAGAACTTAGTTCTTCTAAAAACCAGTTTTGTGTTTTACAGTGTAACAGGATCCTTGATTTGAAATTTATAGAAGCCTCTGAACTTGTGAAGCTCTTACTTGCCAACAGAAAACTGGCGAATGCTTGCTTCTTCTGTATTAATGACTATATTTTTTCAGTTTCCTTTATTGCCCATAGATTATTGGGTTTGTATACATGGCATTAAACGTTTTAACAAATAACAGAAGGTGACTCCAAACAGGCAAAGCGACAGTGTCAGAAATATCCTGTAAATGTTGATAGTCCTGACATACCCGAATCCAGGCTGTTTAAAAGCTGTATCTGCATTAAGACTTCACATAAACATAGACATCAGGAAATCCCCATTCTTAAAGACTTCAGGTATCCGACTATTCATTTGTACCTGCGTGAGCACTTTGGGATACTGCTTCTAAATGTTTGCTGTGTATGAACCTTAAGTGTTGCTGTTGCTTCCCGCTCCCCCATATTAAATTTGCTAGTCGACATCACTGGATGAAGCTCCTTTCATGAACAGTGCTTTATTTTGCATTCCTCATCTATTCAGTGCTTCCACAGACACCAGCTATTGGAGTATCAGGGCACTTGCTTTGCTTCTAACGTATTTTCTTCCCCACAAGGTTTGTACAGAAACATTCCTTAGTTAGAAATGATCTTCTGTTATGGAAATCTGAGTATTTTTTCCTTCATTTCTGCTTGATCTGTTGTTTGCCACTAGATTCCATCAGAACAGTCCTGTCATTGGAGTGGGTCCTCTAACAGATCACCAAGAGCTCGTGTAAGGTTTGAATTAGGAGCGAGGTGGAAATGGTTTAGTCATTGTGTACGTAGGTGCTTTTAACTGTCAGTGTGAGGCAAGCGGCTCGCTTCTCAGTGAGAGTAACGTGCTGGCACAGCCTGTTCAGGCCCATGCCGATGGCACTTTACTCCAGAGCAGGTGACACACTGTGGGATGGATCTTCAGTTACCTTCCCTGTAATGTGTAGAGTAGGAGTGCAGCTCTTGGTGTGCCTTGCTGCCTTCCTCACCTGGAGATGGAGACGCATCGTTCCGCTGTCAGCTGTGTGTAACTCTCGTGCTTTGATCAAAGTCAGACTTTGCGTGGTGCCAAGGGAAGACCCGTGTCCTGCACCTTCTGTATCTCATGCGTATGAGCATGTTTTGGACCTTCTCTCTCCGTGTAAAAGGATCACTCAGAAAAGCAGCACGATGGCGATACCTGTGTTGTGAATACGATGGATGTGTTTAAATGCTTAAGGACAAAATTTAACTGGTGCATGAGTTCTGTTTTCCCCCAGTCTGGGCCAAAATACTTAAATTCACAAAATCTGCACAGGGAACTTTCTCCTCCCTGGCTTTATGTAACAAATTTGAGCCACTTTTCTTTTTTTTTTTTTTTTTTTTTTTTTAAAGGTAGGTTTCAAAGTATTTTGGTATTCTTTGGCCTGACTCCTTTTGCTTTAGTACAAATGGGTAGAAAATTAAGATACATTTGGGTCATGGATTTGAGTTCTTGTGAAACACATGCTTGTACACAAAAAGGATGGCTGGACTTCTGTACTTTCTTGTGGGGTTTGGAACCAACCCTGCGTTACCTAAATAGAAACTGCACATTGCTCTCGTCTTCATGAAGCTTTGTCTGTAAAATGCCTGCTGAGGAGACTGAGGTTGGACATCCTGTCA